TGACTACCTGATACCATGTGTGAAAATATTCATTTAAATGGATCATTGAAAATGAAATGAAATCATTTTAGAAGTTTCATTAAACAAAAGAAATTGGACTGGTATGTTGGATTTCACTTTTGAGATGTTGACACTGTCAAACAGTAAAGATACCTCGTGTTTAAAAGAATAGTTTACCCAAAAATTTTAATTTGCTGAAATTTTTTTCACTTCCAGGTCTTCCAAGTCATCCAATTCATTGGAACAGATCTGGAGAAATTTAGCATTTTATCACTTGCTCATCAATGGATCCTCTGCAGTGAATGGGTGCCATCAGAATGAGAGTCTGATAAAAACATCACAATAGTCCACAAGTAATCCATATGAATCTAGTTGATCAATTCTGGCTAAAATACGAGTCATCCAGTGAAAAAGTCCATATACATTTTGGACCGTTTTCACTTATAAATAGTGCTTGATCTGTTCATTTTTCTCTCCTGATTCAGACAAGATGACTTTTTTCACTGGAGAAAACAATATTATGGATAAAGTATTTTAGCTGGAAACAACGGTTTAAAGTAAAAAATATCTTGATGGATTTGTTTCTTACAAACACACAGCTTTTCACAAAATGTTAATTGATAGACTGGAGTTGCGTAGATTATTGTGATGTTTTTATCAGGCTCTCATTCTGACCGCATCCATTGCAAAGCCAAGTGATGTAATACTAAATTTCTCCAAAACTTTTATGATGAGGAAACAAACTAATTTACATGCTGGATGGATACCCTGAGGGTGTTCGGTAGATTTTTATTTATGGGTGAAATATAAATAAGGGGTGTTACTGAAATAAGAGCTTCTGTAAAAAGCTCTGTTTTTCTTTATTTATTATTTAACTTAATCATTATAATGATTTTTTTTTCCTCCTGTATACATAAAAGGTGAACTATGGAAGGTTTTGGGTAAAAATCCACAATTCCAATAAGTAATAGCAAGACAAACAGAACAACTCCACAATTAACTTGCAATTTTATATTTCAACCACAGATGGTGATAGAGGACAGAGTTCCACAGTGCACCTTTTATTTAAACCTTATACACACCAAGTAAAGCCATGAACACTAGGGATGTAACGATTCACTCAACACACGATTCAATTTGATTCACGATTTTGATTTCACAATTCGATTTTCTCACAATTTTTTTTACAAAATGAGATTGAAGACATTATACAGTAAATTAAAAGGTGTCGTTTTATTAGGCTGTTGCTGCACATTTCTTTGTGAAATTGAAATATAACAAAACTAATAAACTGGGGTTTAAAACAAACTCCAAATCAAACAAGTAAGTTACACAAATAAAATAAATCTCTTAGCAAACTAAGGCTTTGTCTGTGCTCTTTCCATTTAAAATTAGAGGCAACCACTGGATTTGAATCATGATCCAAACAAAGATGCAGCATACATGCAGCATGAGTAGTTTTTAATCTAAATTAGACTGTATAATTTCGAAATTTGGAGCAAAAACAGAGTGGTTTGACTTTAGTTTTGTGAAACTATACTACATAAAACATATCTGAACGAAAGAGCAGACAAGCAGAATGAGCTGCAGATTCACTCTCTGACAGCAGGTGGCGCTTATGAACAGCAATGATACAGCGTTTCCTGGTTTACCGCTGTAAATAAAGCAGAGCTGCGCTTATGAACTCTACTTTAATATGCATTGTTCAGAGGCAACTCAGGCAAGATGAAAAGAAAATACAACGTAAACTTTTCTAAAGATAGTCAGTTCCCCTCAGAGATACATTCATATAAACTCCTACTCCAATTGTATCGTGATTTGTTTGGCATCTCAACCGATTTGCATCGTCACATATTTGAATCGATTTTCAACCGGCTTGCGGTTAATCGTTACATCCCTAATGAACACTGCAAAAAAAAAAAACTAAATGTAACAAAATAATTTATAGAAATAAATTTAATTACAAATATTTGACTGTTGAAGTACTAAAACACTTGAACAGAAATAGCACCGACTCCAGTTTTAAATAACTTTAATTCACTTTAGAGGCAAATATTCCCAAAAGCAGATTGACGGTGAAACCTATAACGGTCTCCCAAACCAGAAGGATCAGCATAAATGTTTCTGTTTGTAAGATTTCACAGACTGGTGGAGCAGGATGAACAGGGTTAAGGCTAGAATCAGGTTTTGAGTTGTCTTGTTCTTTGTTGTTTTTCTTTCAGCCACATGAAGCTAATTACTGCTTTGGCAAAAGCTGCTTTTGCCAACAAGCACACAGACAGCCTGGCAGGCAAATAGATAGATAAAAGGAAAGGTTTGGTCAAGAAATAAAGACTGATTTCATAAATCAATTTGAAGTCCAACAACAACAACAAAAAATACTATTCACTCACATTCACACATAAAACAGAAAAATCCAACAAGCAGTCAAACTGTTGATTACAAAGTGACATCAGGAATTTATAAAGTGACATCATTTTGCGTGCTTTTGACCAAAGGGACAGCAAATTAAACTTGACAACAACCCCTGAAATTAAACTTACAAGTCCTGTGCCTAGCCTGCAGGGTTTTTAGTCTTTTTTTTGCAAGGTTGGGGTCAGAATCAGAGCTGGTCTTCCAAGATTGCCATAAGAATTTCTAACCAATTCAGAAATACATGTAAAGACTAGGCCCATGCAGCAGACCTTATTTTTAACCAGCATTTGTTTTCAAATTTCAGAACATTGGTCTGCGCATGAAGAGACAGAGAATTAACCATGGTGCACTGATAGGAAATGATACTGACAATGATAACAAGGTTAATAATCTATGACAGAAGAGGCAAGCTCAACCATAAATAGTACAGTGGCATGAGGTTTCAGTAGAGTGAAAACAGGGAGAGAAAAGACAATCCCCTGACAATCTCCTTTACCTCCCATCGTCTCTTTTGGCGCGGGCCTGAACCAGCTCGCATGGCTGTACCCAGTTGTTATCGTGTAGCCCAACTCGACAGCCAGGTGTGTCCTTATCTGTGCGCCGACAACACATCCAGTAGGAGCGTCCATAAGGCAAGTCGTGGTGGTAAGGTTTAGGGTGCCAGCGGCAGAGCGACACATCTCCCCGCTCATACTGCCGCTTGCACTGCTTGCAGGGGTCATCACGGTACAGCGGGTCTTGGTTCCAACGAGAGTCTGTAGCACGCACGCCGTAGGTCTCGATCAGGGTTTTGAAGTCATGGCAGGTGCATTTGAGGGCAGCTAACGAATGGGTGGGCAGGTAGCTGAAGATATTGACCATGATGTGGTCTGGAAGCGAGAGCATGTATTGCCGTGGTTCCAGAAGCCGCTGGATCTGAAAGCGAATCTCAAGGAAGTCATGGGAGACATGACGGTAGAGGCGGCACAACGGAGGATCAGAACAATCATCCACAGTTGACAGTGGGGAATCTGGCCTCTCTACGGTAGCCCCGACTGGCCCATTGTTGTTTGCACAGTCTAAAGACCCACTGTTTACCGCTGAGCAACTCTCATCTTCAGTAGCTGGTGACTGCAGAAAAAACAGCTGGCCAGGAGGTGGATCCTCTGAGGCATCAGTTGAATTAGCTCCATTGGGCATAGCAAAACATACAGTCTCTTCTTGAACATTCTCTGTACTGTCCTTCCCATAGAAGACACATTGGTCTACTGCACCCGTGACCACAACCTCAACGTGGAAGCCAGTCACCCTCTCTCGAGCAACTGCTGCCTTCTCTCCTGAGGCAGGGTCTTGGTTAGGATCTGGCGTTGTGGAGGAAGGCCTGTCAGTGATGCCTTCTCCAAGGGAATCAGCCTTTGGTGAGCTGGCCAGGAGGGCACCTGGATCTCGAGATGAGGGACTGACCAACTGGTAGAGGTCGCAAGTGATCTTTTCTTTGCTCCTGGTTCCTGCTTGCCCCCCTCCAACTCCACAACTCATGAACATGCATTTGGGCCGGCCAACAGGCTCAGACTGGGTGCGAGGGTCCAGACTTGACACCCGGAAAGCAATCCGTACTTCCCCTCGTCCATGACTTGGAGCACCACCCACAGAATCACCAGTGTGAATGCGGTCTCTTCCATTGAGCTCAGGCCGCAAAGTCGTACTGTTGAGATTCTGCTGCTGAGATTCAAATTGTGCAACAGCCTGAGCAACCCGTCGGGATTCCTGCTGTTGCTGCAGCAGATCAAAGTCACTTTGAGAAGATGGTGCAGATGAAGGGGATTCTGAAACTATTACAACAGGTTTCTGAAGTACTGTATAAGGACTAGTTTGTCCTTGCGCTACCATACCTTGAAGAGCCAAGGCTGTACGCTGTTCTACAAGGGCCACCATTTCGGCCACAGAGAGCAAATCAGTCTCACTAACTCCAACACCATTCTCCGTCAAGTTGGATTCTGTGGGTACATCAACGACAACATTTTGAGCTCTAGTGGGAGGGTCATAAGAGGAGCAGCGACGACGGCGCTTGGCCTTGGTACAATCAGTAGCCCAGTTTCCCTTAACTTTCATGGCACTAGGCCTGGGAATTCCAGCACCATTACACTGGTGAGCTACAAAGAAGGCAATTTTCTCCTTGGTGTTGCCTGGTTTAATGACATACCAGGTATCAAGCAATACCCTGCCATCCTCCATCTGTGAATTCGGAGAGGGTGAAGCAGGTAGTGGTGGAGCCAGAAGGGTAGATGAAGCATCTGGTGGAGTGTTTTCAGTGCCAACATCCTCATCCTGCTCCTCACTGACTCCATGGGTCTCTAAGGTTGTAAGCCCCGAATCATCAGCCTTGCAGTGGGTAGCAGCTGTTCCATTGCAGATTGTACCATTGCTGTATGGCTTATTCTGGGAGTAGGTGCCAAAGGGGCGAGGGCACCACAGCCGGATGTGGGAAAAGGTGTCACGGTTCATTGTGAGCCCATGGGGAGCATACCTGCCTCTATGCTGGGCAGCTACACTGCAATTCACCACTCATTCTCACTTTTCAGATCTGCAGGCTCCAGCCGGACAGATTACTCCATCTGAGGACTTAAAAAAAAAAAAAAAAAAAAA